CTCCCTCAGCACCGTTGCTGTTTGAGACCGTTGTCGCAGGCAGTGTCAGTCTCTCTCTTTTCCGATGATTCTGTGCTTTCCCAAGCATGCTGTCATTCCCCAGGGCCTAGTCCTTCCACCTAAGAACACCAGCCTGCCTCCCTCCTAAGGAACATTCCAACTGTATTTCCTCCAACACAGATTTGAGCTTCTGTCAGTCCCTGGTATATTTAGTGAGCTCTGGCACCCAAGTGGTAAGAAGCTGCACTGAAATCCCAAAGGCACATGATTGGAATCCACCAGCTGGATGGAATTCTTGGGAGAAAGATGTGCAGTCTCCTCCCGTGGACTTTACTCTGCCCCTGAAAACCCACAGGATTGGCTACAGGTCAGTTCTGACTGGACAGCTCATGTCAACGACATGGTGTGTTTCATACTCTTCAGTGACACTGTACTTCAAAGACAGCAATTTTTCTTGGTCATATTGTCTGCCTTTCAAATGCATGAGCTCATTGAAAATACAACGGCTTGGGTCAGGCTCATCTCAGTCCTCAAAATGACCTCTGGCTTTTGAACACTGTAAAGCAGTCCTTGGTTGTAGATTTCTTGGCTGCTTCTCCAGTGGAGGTATACGATGAATGACAGATGAGCAGTAATGGGCTAGGCAAGACTGCTACAGAACCTTCATTCCTATTCCCTGTCGATCTGCAGAAACATGGGAATAGTTCAAACCTGTGCTGCTACGTTGCTTTGAAACCAAAATTAATGATACTTAGCATTTTTATTTCTTATAGAGAATTTAACCTCATTGCCCATTGTGGAGATAGGTTTATTACTAGCAAGTTTAAATCCATTAGAAAGACAAGTCTTTATTCCCACAATCACAGGGCAGACAGTATTTCATGTAGCAGTTGCACATCATCTTTAAAAAATAGGTTAAAATGTTGTTAGGTGTTGTTGAATCAAGCACGACTAATAGCGACCCTATGAACAAAAGATCTGAACCCTGTTCTATCCTGCGCCATCCTCACACTTCCTGACACACAAGAACCCACTGCAGCAGTCACCATGTCAATCCACCTGGTTGAGGGTCTTCCTCTCCTTTGCCGACCATCCCCCTCCCCAACTTCATGTCCTTGTCCAAGGAATAGCACTTCCTAGCAACATGCTCAAAGTGTGGAGCAAAGCCTTATCATTCTTGCCTCTGAAGAACACTCTGGCTGCACCCTCTCCAAAACACATCTGTTTGTTTTCTTGGCCCTCCATGGATGTTCAGCACTCTTCAACACCACAGCTCTAAGGCGTCAATTCCTTTTCTGTCATCTTTATTCACTGTCCAGGTCTCAAATGCATAGCTAGTGATCAGAAAGATATGGCCTTTAGTGACATCACTACTCTCAATAACTTGGAGAGGTCCCTGACTGCAGATTTTCCCAGTGCAATGCGTCTCCTTATTTCCTAACTGCTGGTACCAAGGTTATTAATTGTGGATCCAAGCAAGATGAAGCTGTTGAGTTTCAGTCTCCTCTCTACCTTTCACGACATTGCCTGTTGCTCCCATGGTAAAAACATTCTCAAGGACTAATTCAAAACATGAAATTGGTTGCCTTGCTGCGAACCCAAAGGCTCGTGGTTCGCACCCACTGGTTGCCAAGCTGGCGGATAGGCAGTCTCTTCCTGTGTGATTTACAGCCTCTGAATACCCGCTGTAGGGTCAGTGCTGGGGCGGTTCCGACTGGACACACAACTGGCTCATCAGGGAAGCCATGATGCTCGAGCTGGTTACCGTTTGTCAGCTGCTATGAACTTGGCTCCAGCTCATGATTTAATGGAACAGAACACAACTTTATGGGGTCATGCAGGGTCTTCACAGTCATTATCATAGCCTTGTGTCCTAGGTGGACATCCTCAGCACAGAGTTCTGCTGTGATCCACAGGGTTTCCACTGGTAGGTTTTTGGCAGTAGATTACTAGGTCCGTCTTCTTAGTCTAGAACCACCGCTGATCCTGACCCACCATCGGTGATCCTCATGGAATGTGAACTACCAGCGCTGGAGATTCTCCCATCAACAGCAGTACAGAAGCTGCCAAGGTGTGACAGACTGAAATGTTGGCTGATAAGGCGACTTGAGGACTAAATGTGCTCAGCTGTGTATTGCAGTGCCCTTATTCAGTGAGCAAGTGAGATAAGCAGTTACCCATTTAGCACAAAGTAAAAAGCTGAAGTACAGAAACCTAACAAAAAACGGTTTTATATTGTATTTCTATTCTTAAAAGCTAAAAAGTATGTGATCTTGAATAATTCTGATGGAGGAAAAAAATACTTTAACATAATTTGGCATGGTTTTAAGATACCTAAGGAGCACAGTTCACTGGTGCAGTGTACTAGCAGAAAGACGTGTGGTCTGAACTGACCAGCCGCTGCGAGAGGATAGTGTCATCACAGGCTCAGCAGCCCCGTGGAAGATGCTCAGGAGTCCATGTCAGCTTGCTGGCCGTGGGGTTTTGATATTGGACAGGTAAGGAACCAGCTGATATGAGTGACACCAGAGTTGATAAAAAATTACCTTTTCAACTTCAAAAGGAAACATTCACCAATATGAAGAAACTAAATGCAATTGTTTTAGTTGTATCACTTACCAAGTAATACTGCCATGTGTAATACTTTTATGATTTATATTGCAATAATCATATTTTCATATTGTGAAATGCCCTCATGATGAAAATCTGAAACCTGTTAAGGTTTTCAAAGACCAAGCTGTCCTACCCAGCGACTTCAGAGGGAAGATGGATGGCTAGGTATTCTCGTTGGATGTTTCTAGCTGCTTCAAGTAAGAGAGTGCTTTGGGGCTTTCCTCTCTAGGCCAGTCCTCGATTGCAGTCATAGTTGCTGTGTGATCACATCAGTCACTGGTTTATTTATAGTTGGGAGTTGAGGGATGACGTTTCAGCAAACTGACACTTAAAACTGTACTTGATTCCCGCCTCGACTGAATGTAAGTGACCCGTGGTGTAGCTGTCGGGGAGACGCTGGCCATCATGACTGTAACTCTCACATGGTTAGATCTCGCTGTACAGACTCCCTGCCATCAGGTCTATCCTAACCCTTGGTAGCTCTCCATCTGTAAATCGTGATGGAAGGAAACTGTCCCCACACCCCCAGGAGCCGTAGCTGGACTGAACCACCGGTCTCGGCCTTCTGGTTAGCAGAATAGCACGCTGGTATCTACGCCACCAGGGCACCAATGTTTTGTGACCCACCAAGGGGATTAAACAGTGTCTCATGATGAACATAAGGTAAACAGCACCTTGGGGGGTGGGGGATGGTTTCCTATCCCGTGCCATCCTCATCATGACACACTAGGGCCCATAGCTGAAGTCACCAAGTCAACCCATCTCACTGGGGGTCTCCGTCTCCTCCCCTGACCCTCCATCCAAGCTTGTCCCTTTCCGAAGAATGGGGTAATAAACTACAAATAAGATGTATGGCCTGCTTCCATGCAGATTGTTGCATTTTGTCATCCTGCCAGGCTTAAATTGAAGCTCAGCAGCAGCAAAGGAGACCATGTGAGTTTAAGTGCATCCTTCCGGCTAAGGATTCCTGTGGGAGACCCAGAAACGACAGTAGAAACAACAGAGGTAGCGGTGAACCAGAGCCCAGTACATACCAGATAGCAGAGCTGGCCTGTAGGCCTAGGCTTATTGGCAGGGTGAAGGTGGCCCATAACTGGCAGAAGAGCTTTCAAACACTTGCCTAAGAAGGGAAGGATAGAGAAGCATCTGAGCAGAGCTCAAGAGATTTTTCTGATTAAAGAATTGTATCCTAGTGTTTCCAATCTGAATTGTATTTCCTGGAACCTCCTTAGTAACCCCATAATTCTAAGTATTGTCTTTTAATCTCAGTAACTGCAACAAAATAGCAAACCTAATATAAGTATTGAGCATTAGTTGGTGGCACAGTACTGGCTTTGTTTATAGATTCACTGCTCCCCCACCCACTTGTGGAGCTGACAGATGTCATTCCAGTGAATTTTCTAAAAACAGTTAAACGGGCACAAGGAATACAGGACATTCTCAATGACTACATGTTAGAGTCAACAGATTTAGTCTAAATGACAGTGTACTAATTTTTAGGATCATGGGCTGTATTGACAGAACTTCGCTTACAATTTCTTCAAGAAGTTACGGCGTCACTGTTTTAAAGGTAGTGGTTGTTGGGTACCGTTTGGTCAGAACCGACCCTCAGTGGGTTTTCAGAGGCATGGGAGATTGCTCATCCCAGGTATTTCCAAATGCTTTAGGAATAGCCAGCCTCTTAACAGCCTCCAGGCCACACCTCCAGAGGATACTCTTCCCATGGCCCAGCTCTGGATTCCTCTCCCAACGCAGGGTGGGAGTTGCCTGTCTTGACCTGAAAAGTCATGACCCTGATATTTTGTCATTAAGTACGCTGTTTGCCTTTGGTTTTGCAATGTATTGTGACTCCTACCTTACTGATGTTTTTTGTCAGGAATAAATGCTGAAGTGTATCAAATTGTGTTCAATGGTGTGCTGCCTCCTCCAACCTGCTAACAGATCAATTCTTGCCAGTGTTGATTCGTTCTTCACACTCAGCCATCCTCCAGCTGTCCGCACGTCTGGCTTCAGTGCAGCCCATGTCCCTTCAGCTGAGCCACAGTCCATTCTACAGACTGGTTTAGTGAAACCGGGTTTGGACAATTCTAAAATGTAGGTTACCTCCGAGGAAATGGGAAACCCATCTCTGCGGGTAAGTTCTGTGTACTAAGCGGGATGCCGTCTATCAGGATAGGTTATAGCGTATTGTGTACTTTGTTCACTGATGCCTCAACGAAGCTTAAATAATGGGCATTTGGAGTGATATTCTCTTACAGATGAGACACAGCCAGGATCCAAACCCATATACTAAAGGCTCTGATTTTAACAAGTGATTTTCACTAATGAATACTTCAAATGACGTTAACATTACTGCATGTTCCTTAAAAGTAAAATGCAAAAGTAAATGGAAACAAACAACCTTGCAGAATTTATTTTATACAGCTGAGTTAAGTAAGCTATAAAAATGTCAAGTAATTCTCTCTTTGTAATCCTTTGTTGACATGGTTTTACATATTAATCACTCTGGAAAGTTTCTGAACTCTGTTTAATAGCAGATCTCCTTTCTTGATTGTCTCTTGGTACTGCCAGTTCTTGCTATCAGGTCTGTAAATGAAGAAAAAGATGTATTATTTACCAGTCACATTTACTTACTCCATGGCAACAGTTCTTAAACCAAGTTAAAAAAGGCACTAAAAGGGTGTCTTATTCTGAACAGTGTAACAAATGACACACAAGACGGAAGTACCTGTTGGTTTCTACAATTTCGTTCACTTTATCTATTTTGCAGTGTAGTCTCCCAGCAGCGATAAATCTGGAGAGTTCCCTACGTGAGGAGAAAAAAGTGTTAGCTCCATAGAGAATTCTTAGAGTCAAAACGGAAGTAAATACATTATTCTTTTGCCTTTCAAGGTGGCATTTAGTTTCCTTTCAAGCCTGAGCTATTGAGTATGTCACAGTAAAGATCCCCTCCTAATACACTGTGGGATTAGGTCACCTCAGAGTAAGTATGACCCGAGCAGTTCATATGTACATGAAGAACAGGTGTCCCATAAAACTACTGAAGGTGCACAGAGGAGTAAAGTTTACAGGGGCAGAAGAGAACGAGAAAAAAATGTCCGGTTTCTTTCAGCTTAACTCAAGAGACAAGTAACTCTCAGAGTCTTAGGAAGGAGGAAAGAAACCCCCATGCTTTGAAAGTATAAGAGGCCAGAATAATATCCAACATACAAGGACTGCAAGTATGTTTTGGTTTTTGTTGTTGGGTTTTTTGGTTGGGTTTTTTTTTCCATTTAGAAAAAAAAGTGAAAAAGATTTATTAAAGCAATGCAAAGGAGGCATGGCTGGTAAAAGATGCTGTGCAAAGAGTTCAAGAGCAAGTGAAGAAGGGGGAGAAAGACCCCTGGAAAAGTCAGGGGTGGACCCAAACCTTAAGGCATGTTGCCCGGAGGAGAGAGTACAAATATGTTTTGAGCATATTAATGCAAGTAGAAAGACAACAGTTACACCTGCACTTCAAAAATTAGCACCAGTAGTGGAACAATCAAAAGACAGTAATTAGGCAACAAAAAGAAATGTTATTCAAATCAAGAAGGACACAGAGCAATACCTTTTCCACAAATGGAGTGATCCTATGGATAAACAGAAGATCCTAAAAAATCCACAAGAAAGCTTTTATAGCATAATAAATGAATTCAACAAAGATTCAAGGTAAACAAGCAAAAAAAATTTTTTTCAACAAAGTGAAATAAAGTGGGACGAGGAAGACTTAATATTGTAAAGGTCTAAGTAATGCCAACCTATAGAATCAAAGCAATTCTAATACAAATTCCAATAGTTGCCTTTGCAAAAAAAGGAAATGCCAATCTTCAAATATATATGTAACTGCAAAGGATCTCAAAGAGCCAAAACAAAGCTGCAAAACCAGGCAGGAGTCACCACTTCCTGATCTTAAACCTAGAACTACAGCAATAAGAACAACCTGCTATTGGTATCATGATTGATAAAAAATAGTGACATGCAATTCAGAAGTAACTCCATTCAGCTCTGATCAACAGGTTCTCAACAAAGGCACCAAGTCCATCACCACCAAGTCAGCCTCTTTAATAAATGGTTCTGGGGACAAGTGGATTTCCATAAACAACCTAGAGCCATACCTCATGCCATAAATTAGAAATGGATCACGGCCCGAAATGTACAAACTAAAACCTAAATGTCATTTGGTAACTAGTTTTTACACTTTAACAAAAGATGAAGTAGATTAATTGTACTTTATCAAAATAAAGTACTTTTGTTAGTAAAAAGACAAAAAGTTAAAAGTTCAATACTCAGAATAAGATATAAAGAACTGAGAGTTCTTAAGTGATCTAATTTTTAACTGGGCAAAAGACTTGAATAGATATTTCACTGAAGTACAGATGGCCTACAGATATAGACATAAAGATGATCAATGCCATTTGTAAAATTAAAATGAACTGCTTTTGAATCAACTCCAACTCCACCCCCCCACCAGGTTTCTGAGGCTGTAAACTGCACAGAAGGAGACTGGCCGTCTCTCTCCTGAGAAGCTGGTTGATGTGAGCCACCAGAGGCTTGGCCTTTGGGCTGGCCATACAGCTCGCTGGGGAACATGCCATCACAGTGTCAGTAGGGCTTTGCAAAGAAATCAGAAACTGTAAGGAGACAACACTCTTTACCTACCCAGATGCCCACAGTTAAAAACACAAAAAAATACAGATGCTGGTGAGAATGAGCAGAAAGTAGAGCCTTCAATCATTGTTGGTGGAATTGTGAGATGGTACAATCACTATGGAAACAGTTCAGTGGTTCCTCACAAAGTTAAGGAATTCCTCTCTGGGCTTATTTATACTCAAACTCTTGAACGCAGAAACACAAAAGATGATAATTTGTCAATGTTCACTGTGCTATGCAGCACTATTCACAACAGCTAAAAAAATGCAAATAGCCTAAATGTCTATCAGTAGCAAAATGGATAATCCAAATGTGGGACAATATATTCAACTTATTACTCAACTGTAAAGAGAAACGAAGTTCTCATAAGGTTGCCTACAACATGGATGAACCTTGAAAAACATTCTCTGTCACTGCCATCTAGTCAGAAGTGACTCATAGCTGACCTCCAGTGGCCTTTCAGAGGCTGTAAGTTTCCCATTTTTCTCATGAGGAGACCCACCTTTGGGCTAGCAGCACAGCTCTCTTCAGATGACACCAGCAGACCACTACCTGTCACCGGCAAGCAGCCCTGACTGAAGAATGCCCTCTGCTGTTCCATGCTAGAGCTTGGTTGTCACTGACACCCAAAGATGACAGTTCAGCTCTTGCCTCCCATTCCCAGAATCAGCAGTCCAGTCCAGGTTTTCATGTGCCTTTCACAAAGACACCAATCGAGGTTCGGATTCTGTCATCTGTCTGGTCTTCCAGGTACTCTACTTACTTCATATCCATCCTGACATTTTCTTGTGTATCTGACAGACATACCACTCCATATTCCCTCCAGTTCAGCTACACTACCATTCTCAGACGTTCATGTATGTTTATGTGTGCTTTTTTTTTTTCCTACCTAGAAAGCTCTTCTCCAGCACTTAAATGGTCACAAGAAGCTATTTGTATATGGGTCAAATTCTAGTTCACGTACATACTCTGTTTCATAATTATGTTCCCGTTACCAGGAGTAATCTGTACACAGGTTCCTGGTTAAAGCAAAGTTCTAACTAGCACTTTAAGTTAGCTATCAAGTTCAGTTGTCAGCTTTCGATCTAAAATATTTTTCTAACATTTACTTTGTTCCAATCAATCTAAGTAAGCACATGCCAAGAGTCCTCAGTTTCCCTGACCCCTGGCACTTTCTGTAAGCCCTCAGGACAGTGTCTCCTACTAGGCTGCTGCTGTTAGGTGTCATCCAGCTGGAACCATAACTGGCCCCCCAGCAGTTGCCAGAGTCAGTAAAGCATACAGGCGGCTCCTGCCCACCCTTCTACAGAGCAGCTGGTGGATGTGAAGGTGGCACAACTCTTCACCATTAATCCACCAGAGCTCCCTACATAGGCAACTGCAGTAAAATTACTGCGTACTTACTGAAGGAAAAGAACTTAAAAATGAAACATCGTTCCTATGGAAAAAAATGCATGGAATTTCAAACAAACCAACAACCAACATAAAAATAAAATCCTGGACAACTCCCAACATATGGTTTCGACATTAAGCATGTCAGCAGCAGTAATGCTTACACAATTAATGGGCCTTCCTTTTCTCCTGTGGCAGTAATACTGAGTCTAGGGAAAGATAAGGAAGAATAATGTATGATTATTGTTCAAACTTACTCAATAGGCTCATTTTAAAAAGAAATTACACCTAAAAAATAAAAGAAGAAAAGGAATCCACAAATCCCTGAAATCCATGTAGAGTCAAGGTAGGCATCAGTAATTTAAAACAAAGTCTTCCTCTTTGGCCTATACAACTGGTCTGAGGACGTGAAAAAAATAACCCAACAAAATGTTACAAATAATATGCTACCTCACCTTGACACTGCCTGTCCTCAGGATGACTTAAGAAATGTTGTTATGTGTCTAATGACACTCTACTGCTTCTGGGCATCTTCTCATCCATAATTTAATTTGTCCCTCACATTCCACCCAAACAGTTAAGAAACTGACAAAATGAACAGAATCTAACCAGGGCCACAAAGCTACTTAGTGGCAGAGCTGGAACAAGAAATCTAGGCTGATTCTAACATTGCACCCACCAGAGTAAGTTCCACCAGTGATGGAAACGCTTGTTCATAATGTCTGCTACACCACCCCAATGAGCAACTCTCAAGCAGAGGTCTCCAAACCAGAACTTACAGACCAGCCAAATTTAGAAAGTAAACAAAGACAACCCAGAGTTACTGGTCATCTATGCTGGTAATCATAACAAAAAAATACTATCAATGTCTTTTTTCCTGTCAAAGGAAGAAAATGAGAAAATTTCTCATAGAAATATTTGTGTGACAGAGATTAGCACCTATCCACTTCATGAAGTATAAATTTTATCTAAAAAACAACCAAAGAATAAATCCATAAAAAAATACTAGTACGTGTGAAATGTTTAGGGATGAACTATAATGGTACCAGAAAATTATTTGGACGTAAATTTAAAAAAGTAAAGATGGAGCAGTATGAGATAAAGCAAGTAAAATCAAATGTTAACTACAAAGTTGAGAATTCACTGTGTAAGTCATTCTTTGCATCTGAAATTCTTCACAATAAAATGTTGGAGAAAACACAACTACTAAAAGGAGAAATGTATTCTATAAATGAAATGTAGTATTATTTAAAATCACTCTGCTCTTTCATTGTAGAAAATTGTTTAGAAGGTCTTGTTTGGGAACCACTGATCTTAAACAACATATGAAATCAAAGCCCCATACCCACTGCCATAGAATTAAATGCACCTCAAACACCAGCTATTCTGTATATTCCCAGACTACTTCCACTACCCTGGTCCACGTCACTCCAACATGCCCTCCATAAGCGAATGAGCAGCCCACCTAGTCTCCCTGTAGCCTCGATTCCTGAAAAGCACAGCTGGGGTCCAAGTCTCCAAAACTCTCATACTCACACACATAGCCCTGTGCTTAATACGGTCCAGTGGCTTCCCACTGCACTTAAGACAGAGCTGCACACCGTGGCCCACAAGACCTCACACAAACATGCCTCTGCCTTCCTATGCAACCTCAGCACCTCCTATCTGCCTGCTCACTCACTCTATCACACACTCTCTCTCTGCAACATCAATGCTTAAAGTTTTTGCATCTGTTTTCCTTTTTCTGTCCCTAGAGCTCCAGATGGCTGACAGTCTCTCAATTCAGGCATCAGAGCAAATCTCACCTTCTCAGGCCATACCTTAAGCAGAATTCCTAAGACACGGAAGCACCACTATCTCCACAGCCTTATTTCCATCCAAAAGAAACTCATATAATTTTATTTTTCTTTCTTACTATAAAGGAAATCAAAAGATAAACTGCACTGGGAAAGTCTGCTGTCAAGGACATCTCCAGAGTACCGAAGAGAAATGTCGTCAGTCTGGAAGACTAAGGTGCGCCTGATCCAGGCCATCTTTGCAATTGTGTGCTATGCATCAGAAAGCTGGACAACAATTAGGGATAATAGAAGACAATGATGCCTTTGAGCTGTGGTGCTGAAGAAGAGTATTGAATATACAACGGACTGCCAGGAGAACAAACAGTTTCACCCTGGAGAGGGTGAAACCAGGCTGCTCCTTGGAGGCAAGGATTCTGAAGCGTCCTCTGACGTACTATGGACATGTTGCAAGGAAGTCCTTAGAGAGGGATGTCATGCTTGGGAGGATGGAGGGACAACACAGGAGGGGAAGACCCTCGAAGAGATGGATTGATTCAGTGGCTCGGATAATGGGGGAGGAGTGTCAGAGACAATAAGGTTGGCTCAGGACAGAGCAAGGTTCGGAGCTGTTGTACAAAGGGTCGCTATGAGTCACAGGCGAGACTCCACAACACATAACAATGACTATACAGAATGAATGTCCATGAAGACAAGGACCTAAAACTAAGTCAAACAAACCCTAAGGGCTCAGCAAGTACTGGCTGAATCAGTGATTCAAGTGCTGAAAGCCTACGTTTGACAGGTAATCTGGATAGACTCGCACCAGTGATCCAAAACATGGATGGAAATATCAGAGAACCCAGATCGTTGATTTTCCTCAGAGGCAATGATGTGGCAGCGGCATGGTCCACAGAGGAGGAACAAGACTATTTTTGACAACTAGTCTAATGATCTACAGCAAATTTCTTCTGTTTCCCCACCTGTCAAGGGAAGCAACAGATTACGAGCAAGGCAGAAAAGACAGACACACTACTGTTCTGATGTCAGAAAAATCCTTCATGTACCCTTCCCTGCATCTCCTAAAATGAAGACAGGTGATGCAAAACAGAGAAAATCGCCAAGTTCATAGTATTAATTAGAAGACAATTTAAAACAATTAGTTATGTTAAAGTATTACTTAAACTTACTGATCAATGAATTCCACACCAACACCAAAGGCCTCTGCCATATAGCCCAGTGTCAGTGACCGGTAGGATTCCAGCAGTTGGCTGTAGGCATGAATTCTCATTTCTCTTACATAGTATCGATAATGAGGAGCAAACAGCCAGTCTTTTTTCATTTCTTGTTCCACAATAGCTACAAAGAAAAAGATGGAAAATTATAACAATCTCCCTTTCAGGCTAAGAGAGTAAAAACAAAAGCAATCCTAGTTGCATCCAGTCAAACAAGTTGAGAGTCTCATCACCCCCATTCTCAGTGACGGAGGAGGTACAGGGGCTGCAGAAAGACCAGCTGTGCTGTCGCCCACTGACACAGCTGACACAGCACCGGCAGCAAAGTGTGCCTTCCAGGGCAGGTGACGGCCGAAAACAACATATAAAGATTTTAATCACAGACCTCTTTTTACTCTCTTAAGCAAAATGCAAAGTCATTTTTTTAAACAATTATGTCAAACAGTAACAGCAGGTATAGTAACAAATTGAAAGCTTATAAAAATAGAAAGTGGTATAAAATCAGACATTACAAAATAACGTAGCAATAAAAGGATGGACTGGTAAATTCTATTTTAAGAAGGTTTCCAAGGCTCGAAAATATGAGAAAGTAGAAAGCATATTTGTAATAGTAAATAGCACTGTTCTATAAAGCTCTCTCTTAAACCAGTAAAATCTGTAATAAGTTATAACAAGTTATTCACATGGGTACAAATCTTTTTTTCTGAATAAATGTTGTAAATCACTCCTAGAGAAAGTGAAAATATAGCAATAAACATAAACACCAGGTCCCTGCTACTGCAGGTACAAAATTTTCAAAAGGGCAGACAGAGAGGAAGAAATAAAAAAAGGACGAGTTCACAGAGTTGCAAGTTCCATGAAAAAAATCAAATAGTGAGTGACACAGCAGTGTGACCAGGAAGCCCTGCCCTTGACAGAGTGGTCAGAGAGGAGCTCTGAGCAGCCAGCCAAGCAGTCAGGAGCCCAAAGAGATGCACACCATGAGCGAGAAGCGGGGTCAGCACAGGTACATTCTAGACAGACTGAGGGACAGCTAGCTACGAGGACTTGAGAGGTGAGTAAGAAAAAGGACAATCAGCGGTAAGTGATTTTTGGTTCAAACTAGATGGAAATTTCTGGAGAAGGACCATAATTGTTTTGTTTTCATGGTTTGGGAGCTTGCTTTTTGGGGAAGGACAGGACAATATTTACAATTACTCTTTGGCAGTGTTCAAGTGGATTAACCTATCAGATATGTTTGTCAAGACATCAAGGAGGCATTCGAGCAAGGCTGGTGATTCAAGAATGTGGTAGTCACGGGTAAAGCCTCACAGCCTGCTGGAACCCAAAAGAGGGTGTCTGTGAGTCAGAATCAACTTGATGGCAGTGGGCTTGGTTGAGCTCTGGTGGCACAGTTGTTAACGCATTTAACTGCTAATCAAGAGGCCGAGAATTCAAACCCAGTGGCTGCTCTGTGGGAGAAGGATGTGACAGTCTGCTTTACACTAATGATTTACAGCCACAGGAACCTGGAGGGCAGCACTACCTTGTCTGTACAGGGCTGCTGTGCGTCAATCAACTCAACAGCAGTGAGGTGCAGAGCACATGAAATCAACGCAATCTGGTGTACACTACGAGAGAATGCAGGCGGAGGCGAGGGCAATGCCCAGCCTGAGCCAGCAAGTGACCGACTGAGGGCGAACAAAGAGGATCCACAGAAAACACGAGTGCATCACTGTGCCAAGTGCAAGAGGTGCTCAGTGTGAAAACAGCAATGACGAAGGAGGGGTATGAGAGACCCAAAGGGACACCAACGACTTCAACGTTGCATGCGCATGCTCCCTGATAAAAAAGCAAACAATGGGTGCATCTCGGAGACTGAAACACTAAAAACTCCTTAAAATAAGTCCTGAAAACTAGGACTAGAAAGTTCTTAAAACTGGAAGCTCCAGGAACTCCATTCGTTCAGTTTAACGCTTTATTTTCAGTAACAAATATACAGTCACCTCTTAAAAAATACTGTTTTAATGACTGGCTGTGTAGTGACATGGAGAGACATTTCCCCTAAATAGTCAACAGGAAAAGTTAGTTATAGCCATGTAATACACAATCCACCCAGAGAGGCACAAAGGTGTCAGGTCTGGCAGGTGTTATCTGCATGTGCACGTGCGCGCGTTTGTGTGGTAGATCTGTTTCCTTTTTAAACAAGACAATTGGAAAGATGCAAACCAACATTATTTCTGAAGATTTTTTCCTTTTTAAAAAGATATTACTCATAGAAAAGTTGTGCGTATTTGGAGAAGCAATAGGCCTTACATTTACCACCATATTATAAAAGAAAAGGACACAAATAACAATGACCTCAAATCATAAAAAAATTATTTAACTACTTTTACATATTCAAAATGACAGGAAAATGTCTACATTTGGATAAAGTTTCATCTAAAATGTTAAAATAAAAGGTTGTTAGTGAAGGGAGGGAAAGTAAAATGTTAATTCTGTTCAAAAGGTTTCCAAAAGCCACCAATTTCATTATACTAAGATGACATTTCCCCCTCTGAATTGTAAATTTAATTATATAACAGACATTTACACAGAACTCAACAGTTTACCGGGCACAGTGATAATGTCAGGATAACCAGAGATAAATGAAAGCATAAGGCTTGCCCCAAGAAAAGTAAAGGGTTCATCTCTTGTAAAAATAGGATAACAAACAAACATAACAAATGCATGAATAGAAAAAGACAAAATAGAAAATGGAACATCCTAACAAAAAGGTGTACTCACCAAATGAGTAAAAAAGAGAACTCGGATTCTATAGAAATGACATACCAACAAGGGCTGCATCATCTTCCAAGTTTACAGACTTCAACAATACCACCTAACCAGGGGATACCCTATTCTCATTCGCTAATGGTTGTGAATATATGAGATGAGGAGAGCATTGTAAGGATACTGTAAGATCTCTCTTACAAGACAAGCACAGTCATGGGTAAAGAGACTGATGCCCAGCAGTGGTTATCAGGGCAGCAGGACGAGGAGGGAGGAAGCAGCGTTCTTGAGACTGTCTTCTGGGATAGGAAACCCAGCACCACACCTGAGTGTAGGAAGTTCAGCATGATCCCTATAAATAATGACCCTCATGGACAGAAGGGCGTGGTGAAGAAAGACTAAGTCAGCCACCAAAATCACAAACACTCAGGCTTACAAGAGGGGAGAACTCAATGGGACGTGGCTACCTCCATGACAAAGCCCACCAGGGCACAACAGATGATCCTAGTTAGAGTGGGGAAAAGCAGAACAAAACCCAAATCCTCAACAGCAGTCAGGCTAACTAGGCCCAGAGAGGCCTCCTGAGATGCTCTTTAAACCCTGAACCAAAACTATGTAAGATCCCCTTCCAACAGAAAAGCAGTGCACGTACACATCAGACCAGAGCTCTGCTGGAAAACAAAAATATAAATAAAATCAATGTTTATTCACAGTAAAGATGAAAAAAATAAGGGACAAGGAATTAAAAAAAAAAAAAGCAGAGAGAGGAAAAAAGACCCCGTTCACTGCCATTTGTCACCTGTGACTTCTAGAGCCCCACAGGGCAGAGAACACAGCCCTGTGGACTTCCAAAGCTGCAGACCATCCCACCCTTGCCTCTCAGAACAGCCAGTAGGGTAATAAGACTGACCATGTGGTTAGCAGCCCAGATCCTAACACACTGCACTATCTGAGCTCCTGGCAGGGAACTCAGAGGACCAAAAATGGAGCAAACAGAACACAATGTGAAAAACACAACTGTGGTTGATCAATCTGTGTAGAAAATGTCAAAGGGGACCCTAATTTGCTGTATAAACTGTCAGCTTATTAGGTTTTAAAAATGGGGCCTATAGCCAATCACTCGCTCGCTGCCAGAGTTGGAGGAGACTTGGGGTTGGCCCTCTAGGGGGTTTTCAGAGGCTGTAGATTGCACAGGAGGAGACTGCATTGCCCATCTTTTCCTGTGGAGCAGCTGGTGGATTTGAACCACCAGAGCCCCCTAGATGGCCAATAAGGACGTGAAAGAACATTCAGTGTCACTAGCCATTTACTCACTCACTGCCTGTGAGTCGGTTCCAACTCAGTGACCCTTCATCGGTATTCACAGACTTCAATTGTAATGGAGGAGAATGCCCATCTTTCTCCCACAGAGCTACTGCTGGATGTGAACATCCAGGGGCACACTGCCTCTGTGTTAGCAGCTCAACTCACTGTGGACTATGCTACAAAAAAGCCCTCACTAGTTATTATTGTGTGTCATCAAGTTGGACCAAGACCCATAGCTGACCATCCAGTGGGTTTTCACATGAATGGAAACTGCCCAGCTTTCTCCCAGGGGCAACTAGTGGATTCAAACTGCATGCCACTGAGTCACCACGACGCCGTTCCCCGATGGGTGGCACACATCATGGGGAAATGCAAATCAAGACTACACTGAAACGACATTTCCACTAGAATGGCTCAAATAAAAAAGATAAACAACAGCAAGTATTAAAAAGATGTAGAGAAATCAGAACCCTCACAATGGGGAATGTAAAATGGTACAGCTACTTTGGAAAACAGTTTGGCAAATCTGAACAAGTTAGAATCACCTCACAACCCAACAATTCCATTCCTCGGTATACCCTCAAGAGAAATAAACACCCGTGCCCTCACAAACATTTATGCACAAAGGTACATACCGGTTAAAAAATGGAAACAACCCAACTGGCCATCAATCGATGAATGGATAAAATGTAGCACATCTGTACAATGAAGTATAATTGTCAAAAAACAGGACGAAGTTCTGATACAGCCTTCCTAGATAAGCCTTGAAAATATTATGCTAAGTGAAAGACAGTACAAAAAGTTGCATATCGTATGATTCCACATATATGAAACCTCCAGAAGAGCTAATCCATGGAGACACTAGAGGAGTGGTTGCAGGGCCAGGGGGACAGCGTTGCTAGTGCACACAAGGTCCTCCTGCAGGGATGAAAATGTTAGAAGAATGGTGACGTGTGCACAATCTTAGGAATGTACTCACGACCATGAAATAAGGTCAATGTATTGCACGTGAGTTCATTAAAAAGGGGAGAGGACCCAACATAAAGGCTCTGAGAATGCAGAGAAGTAGGAGACTCACTGAGAGAGAAGCCAAGGTTTGAGGGAGACCCTTGGGCAGAGAGAGAAAAGGGCTGTAAACACAGCTTGTGTGCAAGAGCAGCCATGTTGTATGAGAGGGCCTAGAAAAACCTGTCCCCACATTACACGAGATAAGCTGCAAGGACTCTCATCAGGAAGCCTAAAGAAAAAGTGCTTTACACACGTTTAACTATTTAGGGGCCAAAACTCACTGCACAAGTAGCATAGATTCCCTGCCCTATTCTGAATTATCGCAAATGCTATCTATTTAAGCAAAAATTGTGTGAAATTGGCAAGATAAAACATTTTAGGAAAATCATGTGGAAACAATCTCATGGTCAACCTGACACAAGTAAATTCATCTGCCACCTTATGTATGCAGAACACCAAATGGTTGGGAAACAAAATGAAAACCCAGCAAATTTGAATAGGCAGAACCGCCAGCAATCAGCTTTGGCAGAACACCACCTGTATATTCAAAAGATTATTTTCTCCATCATAGCGCTTAAAACCAGTTTGCAAATCAACACAAATATTTAGCAACTGTATAAATAACATTCCTGAAAGCAACAGTTGATTAACATCATCCCAGAAGAGTTGGAAGTTGCTTACATTTTCCCCAAAATAAATGAGTACTTCCAGCCATTTGCTCACTTCTGCCTCACACCCTTCAAAAGGCAACAAGGGCATGCCTGGAAAACATCTTAGAAAAAGGACCACATGGGAAATGTTTTGGTTTGGGGTTTTTTTTCTGTTACATGTTCTTCTGTGTTTGTTCTCATAAACCTTTTAAAATATTAAACCTTTAAAATATGAACTATAAAACCTTTAAAAGTAATTCTTAGCTTTTAAGCCAAACAAAAACATGCTGCAGCTTGCTGATCAATTTCTAAACAAACGAAAAATACTCAAGCATGTACAGCTCTCTGTATACTTTTTTCCAGATACATGAAAACTCAAATACATAGAAAGCTGATCAAGAGTTATGATGAAGGCAGAAGACAGAGGAGTGAGTTCATCCTTACCTAACGACTGGAAGAAAACTGAGTAACGGCATTCATAGAGTGAAAACAGATACTGCCGAACTGCCGGCAAGCTGTGTAACACTTCCAGAATCTCTGCTCCTTTAATAACCTGGAAATTAAAAGAGAAAAAGAACACAAACACAAACCAATAAACATAGGCTTTAATGATTATTGGGTATTTAAATTAGAAAAGTAATCTGTGAATGTGAATACTGCAAAATCAGTCCTTACCTTTTCCCTAAGATCTGGTCTTTCCAAGGCAATCATGCTGACATAGACAGTGTAAGTCACAAAGGTCTTATAGTCCATAAGCTCGTAGGATGTGAATGTTGACACCGTGTCAAGAAAGAGCTCAGCTGCCTGCTTGAAATCGCGGATGGCCACACAGTAAAGGCCCTGATAGACTTTCAGGCGATTTCTCCTGTCCCAGTCTCCTCCTTCTTCTATTAAGCTAGAAGAGCAAAACAGTACGTTACAATCTGGAAATGGATAGTATCACTGTTCCAAAATTCTGAATTATTTTCAAAGTGTGAGGATGGTGCAAGATAGAAAATAGGGTTTGGATCTTTTGTTCATAGGGTCACTGTGAGTCATACTCGATTTAACAGCACCTAACAACAACATACCACTTTTAAGAACTTGAACCCAAAAGAAATATTTTTAAAAATACTTTTTAAAAGATTTTGCTAAACATGTACATCAATTAACTGACCAAACTGACGACATGTAAATAAAATAAGCAGATCTCCTAAGTCAATCTCTTGCTCACAGCACCGTTATTTAGAGGGAAAACATACGCCCTCACTGCCCCCCATACCAAAGAACCTTTTGGCCTTTTCTGTGTTCCGTGTGATGAGATCATTGTCCATGTAAAATAGGCCGATCCTGAGCAGATAGAAGACGATATCCAGCCGGTGCCCCAGGGCCACAGTTTTGTCATATGTCTTCCGAAATGCCGTTAGAGCTCCTTCCTAGCAAACAACCAAGGGACCAGATAAGAGAAGACGAAGAGATGCTACACCTCCCTTCCAAAATTCACAGCTGCGTGAATCAAACTCTTTATACATGGTGATTTTTGTTATGTGTCTGGTTTTATTTTATGTAATCAGTAGCTATGGCTCATAGGTTTCTAAGACAGACTAGTAAGAAAGTAATAAGAACATTTAGCACTTGGATCTTATGGTCTAATTACTATCCCCCACTTAAAGGAACAAGGGTCCTTAGGAGAGATTCATGACTCTCATTTGCAGAAAGAGAAAAAAAGAAAATAAGCCTACAACATCTTGTTGTACCAGAAAATGAAGAAAACCATTGGCATCATTGTAAAAAAGATGAAGGAATGAAATAAAATGAAGAATGACTACACTTGAAATAAATATTGTTTATATTTTTTTTTAAAAAAAGGAACTGTCTTTAAGAAGTCACTAATAAAATTGCAACAAACTGAGCACTAATCATTGTTAACACAATGAAGAATAATTTTCCATAAAGCTCACTAAGAATTTAGTAATACAAAATAAAATGTAAGATGCAAAAGAGAGTAAGGAGACTGAGGGAAAAGCAATATGAGAAAGACAATTCTTTCTAGAACAATGCCATTCAATAAAATATGGAGAAAATATAGTATTAGTGCATCACCATTTGCTTCCCCAATGGTCCAATGGTGATTCAAGCATGTTCTTCAAAGCTTGAATCAAAAGCTACAGGGTTCTCATTCACTTGTAATACATTAATGAGCTAACATCAAAACAAATCCCCCACATACAAATAAAACTGGAACACAACTATTAATCTTTTTAAAATGTTTTATGTCTTTACCAAATTAAATCAAATGGGGGTGTGGGGGAAAGCAACTTGTTTTAAATAACTTAACATGTAAGCAAGTACCAGGTACTTGTCTAAGATTTGCCTCAATCTTGAATCTTCAAGTAAGAACTGTCAATTAAAAATCACTGATCCAGAAACTGAGATTCAGAGATACAAGAAATCATAAGTATTGATCTTGGAATTAAAACCCAGGCAGGTACACTGTTTAACCTTAAGAAGAGTCAAAGCCTTGGAAAGAGGCCCCAGATGAGCGAAGCACTCCTTAAAATGAGAAATAAGGTGGGAGGCATCTCACTACCTGATTAGGAGGGACTGGTCCTTGGAGAGGGACATCATGTTTGGGAGAATGGAGGGTGGCACAGGAGAGGAAGACCCTCGATGAGATGGACGGATTCTGTGAGTGGAGCAGTGGGAATGAATGTGTTTGAGACAACGAGGTTGGCACAGGATAGAACGGTGTTTAGGGCTCTTGTACACAGGGTCACTATGAGTCACAAACGACTCAATGGCACATAACAACAACAAAACAACTACACTGACGTGGTATAATGAGAGACACACAGATCAATGGAATACAATAGAAAATCCAGAAATCAGCCTATCTACCTATGGTCAATTGATTTTTTACAAAGAGATGAAATCAGTTAAGTGGGGAAACGACAACCTTTTTTAACAAATAATGCTGGCAAAATTAGAAAACTACCTGGAGAAAACTCAAGCAAGATCCACACCTCACTCCATAAAAAAAAACCAACTCAAAATGGATCATTGACCTAGGACTAAAACCAAGGACTATACATTTCATTAAAGAAAAGGTTGGAAGGACTCTAGTTCTAATCCACAACATATAGTCTTCCAAGCATCTTGAAAACAACTACAACCAGGAGAGGATAAAATAGATGAATGAGACCTTCTAAGAATCAAATCCCTATAAACATCCAAAAACTTCTCTAACAGAGTAAAAAGGGAAGCCACAGATTGGGGAAAAATATTTGGTAATGACATGTCAGATGAGGGACTTATATCTAGAATTTATAAAATACTTGAGCACCACCACAAGATAAAGGTAAACAAACAACCCAACTGAAAAATGAGCACAGGATACGAACAGACACTTCACCAAAGACATTCAGATGGCTACCAAACACAAGAAGAAATGTTCAAAATACAAACAGACACTTCACCAAAGACATTCAGATGGCTACCAAACACATGAAGAAATGTTCAAAATCCCTAGCTCTAAGAAAAATGGAAATCAAAACAACTGAGTTATCTTCTCACCCCAGTAAGAACAGCAAAATTTAACAGAGCCGCAAACAACAAATGCTGGCAAGGTTGTGGAGAAACTGGAACCCTATTCACTGCTGGTGGGAGTGTAAAATGGTGCAACCACGATGGAAGGCTGCATGGCACTCTTTCAAAAAGTTGCAAATAGAAATACGATTTGACCCAGCAATTCCACTACTGGGAATATACCCTAAAGAGACCATAACTGACATCCAAACAGATATATGCACACCCATGTTTACTGCGACTCATGCAAGTTTCCTTTTTCAAAAGGAAATTATCTTTTCATAGAAGACCTCACTTATCTCACTCTCGCTGCCACAGAGCTGGAACTGATCCAGGGCTGATCCTCAGAGGGTTTTCAGAGGCTCTAAACTGCAAGGAGGCAGCTGCCCATCTCTCTCCTGTGAAGTCAATGGAGGACTCCAGGACCCACCACGTCGGGTTAGCAGCCCAGCTCCATAGATACATAAATATGCCACCAGGGCAGAGCCTGTGTTCATCTGGAATGCTTTCCAAGCTTGGCCTGCGTGAACTCTAGAGAGGGGAGCTCCTACCTTGTCACCTATCCGGCAGAGGTACTCCGCCTTTGTCATCATCGCATCCCGGATTTCACTCTCCCCCAGGTTCTTTTCTGCATCTTCCAGCTCCTCATCCAGACGTTTCAACTCTTCTTCGTTCGCCTTCTTCATTTTACTGAGCAGCTCCGTGTCCATCTGCCAGTCCAGGGATTTACACAAGGCTTCGTAATAAGGAGCCATATCTGAGAGCAAGAAAGAGGGAGACGATTTCTGAGTGGGTCACTTTACCTTCGTCTGTGTCCTCCCCCCCGTTTTCACCTGTCCGCAGGCGGATCATCCATCAGCCTCCCCCCCCAAATGCGGACAGAGCAGGGGCAGGGCCTGGGGCCGGGGGCGGCGAAGAGGGGGCAGGCCCTAAATGTCTGGGGCGGGAGGTTGCCATCAGGGACAGTCGCGGCCCTGGCCAGTCAATGTCAGCTCCGGGCTACGGCTACAGGCTACAAGTCTTCAATCAATGACAAGCCTAAGAGCAGGTTAAATGCGCTGAGCCTGTTCTCGCGCGTTCTCTTACACACTGATGTTTACACACACACAAACACCCACATTCAGCTTCCACACGGAAAGCTAATTCTCCCGCTCAGCTCAGGGATGCCCTGTCCGGGACCCGCAAAGTAGGGACGAGAGCTGGACCATCGGGGACCCCCGGAGGGACCCCAACACGGGGTGAGAGGCCCGTCCACCCCGTCGGCCGGAGCGCGGGCGCAGGCCGCTGACTCGGCGCCGCGCGGGCCTCACTGTTGTCGCGCACGGCCGCCATCAGCTCGTCGCGCACGGCCGCGTCCCCGCGGTGCTCCGGCAGGCTGAGCAGGAAGCGCAGCTGCGCGATGCGCAGGTCGGGGTTCTTGGGCAGGCCCTCCTCCTCCAGGTTCTCCAGCGGCATCTCGGCAGCAGAATCTGCACAGCCGGGAGAGAAACAGCAACTCAGCGGAAGCCCGCGGCGGCGGAAGCGGGAGGAGCCGGTGGACCCGGTGGACAGGCCCGGGGACTCCGGCTTCCGGCTTCCGTTCCGCTCGCGCCTACATCGCCCTCTGCTGGCCACCGCCGGGAGCGCCTCACCCAGCCTGCGCGCCGACGCCCCCGTGCGGCCTCTGGAGGCCTGAGAGTGGTTTGCAACTCTAGGATAGAGTAGGGTTGGCCTGTGGTGCTGTGTATCTTCGAGAGATCGAATCCTCCAGCTGTTTTTCAGAGTCAATATTCGAGAGATCGGGTCCTCCAGCTGGTTTTCAGAGTCAATATTCGAGAGATCGGATCCTCCAGCTGGTTTTCAGAGTCAATATTCGAGAGATCGGATCCTCCAGCTGGTTTTCAGAGTCAATAAATCTCACTGAAGGAGATTGTTGCATGTTGTAGTTGTCATGTGCCGCTGAGTCGACCAAGATCCATAGTGACCTTATGAACAATGGCTCTGAACCTTGCCCTGTTCAGAACCCCATTGCCACAATCACTGTGTCAATCTATCTCATCTAGACTCTTTCTCTTCTACACTGTCCCTCCACTCTTCCAAGCATAATGTCCTTCTCCAAGGACAGGTCCCTCCTAGCAACATGCCCAAAGTATGTGAGACCGAGCTTCCAAATCCTAGCCTTCAAAGAGCAACTTGCTTTCACCCTCTCTCTCCAGGACACACCTATTTGTTCTCTTGGCAGTCCATAGTATATTCAATACTCTTCTCTAGCACCACAACTCAAAGACTTCTGTAATTCTTAGTCACTGTCCAGCTCTCTAAGTAATTGTGAAGACCATGGCTTGGAGAAGGAGCACCTTAGTCTCTATACAGACATTGTTGCTCTTCAACACTATGAAGAGGTCCCTGACAGCAGAATTTCCTAATGCAGTTTGTCTTTTGATTTCCTGACTGCTGGTACCAAGAGTGTTGATTGTGGATCCAAGCAAGATGCAACTGTTAACAATCTCAAGGTCTTCCCAATGGATGGTGAGAATCTTTGGTTTTTTTGATGTTGAGATGCAAGCCACTGTAAAGACTTCAATTTTTTACCAGCAAACGCTTCAGGTCCGTCTCCATTTCAGCGATCAAATTTGTGTCATCTGCATTATGCAGGTTGTTGATGAGTCTTCCTCCAATCCTTATGCCACATTCTTCTTCATAAAGCTCAGCCTCCTGAATGATCAGTTCCACATATAATTGAATAGAGATTGAGAGAGGATACATCACTGACACACTCTTTTCTTTATTTTGAATCATGCAGAGTTCCCTTGCTCTGTTCAGACAACAGCTTCTTAGTCTAAGTATAGATTTCCGTTGAGCGCAATCAAGTGTTCTGGGATTCCCATTCTCCTTGACATTAGCCACAACTTACCATGATCCACACAGTCAAATGCGTTTGCCTAGTTGATAAAACACAACTTAGACATCCTTCTGATACTCACTACTTTCAGTCATGATGCATCTGACATCAGTAATAATATCGCTAGTGCCACTGCCTCTTCTAAATCCATCTTGTATTTCTGGAAATTCTCTGTCAATGTATTACTCTAGTTGTTTTTTGGATAATCTCCACCAAGATTTTGCTTTCATGCAATATTAGTGATATTGTTTCATGATTTCCACATTCTGTAGGATCACCATTTATGGAAATGGGAATAAATATGGGTCTCTTCCTGTTGGCCAGGCAACGGTCCTCCAGATTCCTTAACCTGATAAGCACACCAAAAACAGCAGTCGTTTGTTGAAATATTTCATTTAGTATTCTGTCAATTCCTGAGCCCCCCCCCTTTTTTTCCAATTCCTTCAGGACAGCTTGAACTTCTTTTATTATTATTATTACTTCTTGATCATATGCTACTGTCAGCCATTTTTTTCTGGTACAGTAATTCTGTGTATTCGCTTCCTTATCATTCTGTAACCTCTTTAAATACTGCAATTCTTTAAATACTGTTCTTCAGTTCCTTCAGCTTGAGAAATGTTGAGTGAGTTCTTCCCCTTTGATTTCCTGACTCGTTGCATATATTGAGAGCTGCTGTTTGAAATCTTCCCTTTGCTTTTAGCCATTTAATTTTCTGGGATTTGTTGTTTGCTAATTTAGTGCTTTGTTTTGGGGGGGTTCCCCCTAGATGAACAGAGCAAGCAATCTCCTCTCATCCATTGTACAGCATTGGAGGCTGGCAGGAAGTTCAGCTGTCAAACAGAGATGAGCTGTAAATGTGAACCCAACCCACTCCATTGTAATGGGAGACAATAAACTGCAAGTGAACAAAAATATATTTGCAAACATTGTTGCTTTTCACTTACATGTTTTAATCATGAGGTTGACTTTGTTTTCACAGTTGGTCTATTTATAGCTCCTCTGTTATGAAATACCTGTTTTGCTTTGTCAATTCCTTTGTGGCATTTTTTTCACTTGTTGATAAGTAAGCAATTCTCATACCTTAAGGATACTGTTTGTCAAGCATTAAATCTTTTTCTCTAATTTGCTTTTCTTTGTCTTATATTTTCCCCAATTTAAAAGTTCAAAATTTTTATAGAGATAAATGTATCAATCTTCTCTTTTATGGTGTCTGGTATTATTGCAAGAACTTTTGGAATCTATGGTTTTAAAAAATGTCTACTCAAGTTTTCCTTTTGTATGTTTATGTCTAAAAGGAATATTGGTGGCATAATTAGTACCTGTTCAAACAATAAACGAAAAGTCAACAGTTCAAATCCATCAGGCCTGTGTAGGAGAAAAATATAGCAGTTTGTTTCCATAGGGAGCTCTGATGTCTTCGCGGTAAGGAATTGCACTGCCAGCTCCAAGATAGATAGTCCAAATGTTCACCCTTCAGGGTTGCTATGAGTTGGAAATCAATTCCACTGTGGCAGAGTTTGGGTTTTAATATATTCATTCCCTTTCCCCCCCACACACAGTATTTAAATCTTAGTTCCATCTGGAACTTAGATATAAGGAGTAAGGTAGTGTACTTTAAAATAAGTTTTGTACTTACTATAAAAAAACAAAACCAAACCCAAAAAAATCCCACCAAAAAACCACCACCACACAGGGTGTGCCTGTATTTAAAAGCGGTAGTGCTGGACTAAGTCTGCAGCTTGGAGGCTCCTGTGAAGTGGTTGGATCCTGGAAGATGATTTCTCACATCTTGATGAGGGTCAGGTATGAAACATTTGGTTGGTTTTTGGGTTTTTTGTTCACAAGCGGGTGTAAGCTGATTGGACTGGCCAGATTTAGCTAACAATGAGCTGTGAGCTGGAAGTCTCTTGGTTTAGAGTCAACCAGCACTTGGTGGGTGTGCCTCTTATTTAAAAAGCTGTAGGGCCCTTGAGACTGTGGCCCTTAGGTCTAGTGTTCATTGATTTGAGGATGATGATTCTTTTAGGTGGTACAGCTGTGGGTTGTCTATTTGCTGTACTGAGGTAACTTTGGGTTGCTGTGATGCTGAATGTTGTGTCATAGGTGTGTCAAATGCCATAACGGTTTCCCATCATGGACAGTATTTGGTGGAGCTCCCAAACAGATTCAGGTTTGGAAGAAGGAGTGGCATTCACTTCCTAAACCACATGCCTTTGGAAACTCCATGAACATAGAGAAACGATGATAGTTACAGAACAAGGTTCAGGTCTTTTGTTCATATGGTCACTATGAGTCATACTCAAATTAATTGCACTAATAACATCAACATAAAAAAAAACCAACCAAAACACCTCCCAAAGGCCAAAAACCTGTGAACTTATTTTTCCAGCTAAGAACCTATAACTTAATTTAGGATTGGAGAACAGAAAATATTTATTTACAATTAGCTCTGTTCATCCAAAATAGAGCTGGTTTAGTGATATGGAGTTGTGCTGCCAACCCAAAGACTCACAGTTCAAGTACACCAGCTGCTTGGCTGAAGAGATATGGACAACTTCCTCCAGTGTGGTTTACTGCCTCTGAAAACCCACTGGAGGGTCAGCCAAGAGCTGGGTTAGATTTGGCGACATATGAGTATTCCAGAAGGCGTCTCTGCTGCTTCTGGGCCTGCCCGAGTAACAGCTCCGCATCACATGACGTAGTGCTGAGTAGACCAAGAGATGCCAAGGAAAATGGAGTGAGTGGTGGATCAGTGTCCAAGACGAAGAAGATGAAGATGAAGAAGAGTGGGTTAGACAAATTATGGTTTTCTTCTGGAGAATTAGAACCAGAACACAGCAGGTGAGCATTCAGTCTTAGTTCAGAAAAGTCTGTATGTAAAATCAGAGTTCTAGAAAGAGATAAAGAGGGTGAAACTGAGGAGAAAAACATCCCAGCATGCGCACATGGCATTTGAGAACTGAAGAACTGACTGCATGCTCAGCAATATGGATATTTATTTTAAGTGCAACATTGTGAAAATTCAGAAGAGTGGGCACAGAGGGAAAGTTTCAAGGATTTAAAAAACTCAAAGATAATATTTTTTAAAATATTACAAGAAATAAGAATCAAAATGTGATACAAGAAACCAGAAGAAAATATGACAAGGCCTTTAAAATATCAAAGTAACATGATTTCCAGCTAGAATCCGTTGTTGTTATTGTTGTTATGTGCCACAAAGTTGCAAGTGACTCATAGCTGACCCTCCAGTGGGTTTTCAGAGGCTGTAAGCAGCATCAGAGGAGGTTGTTCATCTTTCTCCCACAGAGCACTTGGTGGTATCAAACCATCTGCCTTTGGGTTGGAAGTGCAGCTCCCTAATCACTAGGCCACCAGAGCTTCTAAAATTGCATAGGCAGGTTTTATTACTGATGTAAGAGCACAAACTCAGCAGCCAAGTATCTGCTTTCAGGAAGGTCATCAGAGACAAGATGGAGAATCGCTTGAAGGGTCATTTTATGCAGCTGCCACAACAAATTACCGTAAATGTGGGGCCTTAGAACAGCAGATATTTGTTCCTTCACATTCTGGAGCTACAGGGCTGAACTCAGGCATTAGCAGGACCGCTCTCCTAAAGTCTCCAGGGGACAATCCTCCTCACCTCTTCCAGCTCCTGATGGTGCCTCACACGCCTTAGTTTGTGGCAGCATCACTCTGTCTCTGTCTGTGTGTCAGCCGGGCCATCCCTGCTGTGACCAATCTCCCACTCCTTCCTCTTGTAGAGACA